TTTTTTTGTTTTGTCACAGGATGTACCGTTCCGCGGCGAGAAACGAATAATCTACGAATAAATAACGCTGAAAAATATACATGTGCGTACGCGTGTACAGGTTTTCCATCGCGCGTATGTCGCGCGGAATGAAATAAAAATCGAACAATGAAAGGTTAATGCGCGTTCACGATGGCACTTCGTTGCGCCCCTATTCATTTTAGTTCGCGCTCCTCCATCGAACTCCGCTGTGTTGAAAAGAGAGAGAGAGAGGGAGAAAAGTTGGCGACTCTCTTTCGACTTTTTGGGGATAATTTTCAACGTTGGGAAATCCATCGGCGGTTAACGGTTTCAACGGTTTCAGGCTTAAGTGAAACAAATCCTCTTAAAACTTGCTCGAGAGCTTAAACTGTTTAAGTCCGGCAGCAGTGTACGCATCCATATTTCTGCTAAAGTAGAACCGGATCCTTTTGGAGATTATCTCCGATAATTCTTCAAAAATATTTAGACACCCTCGTCTTCTTGCCTCGCGACGAGCGACAAGCGAGAAAATTCGTCACGAATCACCTCTGATTATCCAATCGGCTCTTAACACCCGAATATTTCATTCAAGTGAAATCTTTCAGCTAAAGACTAAGACCGTGTCCGCATTACTATATTATGTCGAATCATAAAAATTACGTTGAAGTTTCGCTCTTATTCGTGGCGTATCGAACTGCGTAAGTTTGAATTAAAAAAAGGAAGAAACAGAAGCTTTGCGAAGCCACTGTGGCGTCGGTAATTTCGAAATTTCCAGCTACTCAGCTTTTCTCATTACTCGGTTAACTTCGCCCGATCATTTCGATACGCCTCAAACTATGTATCGAGAGTTTCGTCTGACTAGTTACGCTGTAAACTACTGGCAGCTACAGTCACGTTACGCTGTTTCCGAGCTATTTGAAAACTCTGTTCAACAATTCAAAACAGAATGTCTTCGTATAAATTTGCCGAATAAAATGAAAGTAAATTAGAAGGAAGGCATCGCCATTCGCTCATCAAAGTACACGTGTCCAGGTTTATTTGATTATTTCAAAGTGCTTCGCGAGAGCTACGTAACAGCTACATTATTCAACACAATTTCTGGATGCTCGCTCCGATCATTTCACCTCGAGTTAGTTGAATATTCCGTTTTAGCTGCGTGCATTTCGAATTATTTACAGCTACGCCACTACGTTATTCGTTTATTCGAGTACGACTGACCCGTGAGTGAAAGTTTAGTCGTTACTCCTTCGACAAGACAAACAAGTAGATACTATCCAAAATTTGTGCAACTGTCTACTACGAAAAGAATCGTGCAACAATTCAAATTGACCTCGAATTTTTAGACAGAAAGTGACTTTCACTTTCGCGCGTTTGTGAATTTGTTTCTTCCCCTCCCCCCTCCCAAAAAAAAAAGAAAAAACGATTTTGAATGAAACGTGGACGGAAAAGTAAAGACACGTTTTTCTCGAAAGTTGTAAAAATTCGAAAATAACAAAAAAAAAAAAAAAAATACTCGTCTGTTTGCTTTTTCACTACTTAAGTTTCAAATTTCAAAGTTCGACACAGTATACTATCGCCGGTACGTTATTCATCTCTCACTCGCGCTTCCTTCCACCGTCACGTTCCTTTCATTTCACTGCGCATCGTGATATAATATTCATCTTCCACTGGAGCTTCATCAACTAGCCAAAACAATACACACACCGGCAAACTAATCCAATTTCCAAATTTCTCTGTTTGAAAACAGCTGCAGATATTCGGCTTCAACTCGCAACTGTACAACAACTTCACGGACGCGTTGCAGCGGGCGCAGGGGATCGTCGCGGTGTCCCTTCTACTCCAGGTACATGCCTAATCTCTCGGCAGCCCCCGGGAGAAGTGTTTACATTCTCGAGAACGGGGGCCGCCCGTTCCCCGCGAAATATCGGCGTAAAACGATCGCGGTGAAACGATACACACCCGCAAGATAGATCGCGTGTTCGCTGATTGCGTTTCAGGTTGGAGACCTCTCGAACCCGGAGCTACGAATATTCACCGAACAGCTGGATAAGATCAAATACGGAGGTGAGTCCCCGCCAGTAATTCGACACGTTCAACTCGGACATCTCGAATTTCTCGAGGAAATCGAGTTCCCACGCGATAGGCGACCGGCCTAGAGATCGAAAATCGGCGTTCGTGATCGAAATCCACGCGTGAGTGAGATCACGGTGTCCCAATTAACCCTTTGGCTACTGCTGCAAGCTTGAAAATTTGCTACGGAGGCAACGTTGGCGCCCATGAACGCTGGATGATAACCGTACCACCGCTTCGAAATACCTGTTTTTACTATGGGGTTGTCGCTGAAAGGCTGAGTGATATATTATATTATATTTTACAAACGCGTGTTTCTTTAATTTTTTTGTTATTTTATTTGGAATTGTAATTAACGGATAATTTTTCAGTATTATGCGTGAAAATAACCATCAATTTCGAAAATGAACAAGTTGTGATACTTTTTCAAACTGATACTTTTTCAGTTTTTCAGCGGTTACCGTTTATTTACAATTGGTCAAACGATGGGTTATAAAATAAATATTTTCTTTTTTCTTCTGTCTTTTTAAGAAATACAGATTTTCAGAATTTATTGTAGGAAATAATTCACAACGTAAATAATTTTAAATGGTATACCTATTTTTACTATAGGGTTGTCACTAAAAGACTGCATAATATATTATATTATATTTTACAAACACGTGTTTCTTTAATTTTTTTATTATTTCGAAAACGAACAAGTTATGATACTTTTTCAAACCTTTTTCAGTTTTTCAGCGGCCACCCTATATTTACAATTGGTCAAACGATCGGTTACGAAATAAATGTTTTCTATTTTTTTTTCTCTTCAAGAAATACAGATTTTCAGAATTTATTGTAGGAAACAATGCACAACGTAAATAATTTTAAATGGTAACAAAATAATCACAAATTTTCATTTTTGTATTTAATACAATTTTTATTATGATAGAGGAGCATAGTTTATTTCGTTTAATGGTAAATCGAGCGTGGTACGGTTAACGCTGAAACTAAGAGGCGCTTATGGGCTGCTCACTTCACGTTGCTGGAATCGAACTGAAGGCGTCTACAGGCGCCTGTTATCTACAATAGTTGCAGCAAACTTCACTCGTGTCTCATCGGACATGAGTGAATTTTAATTCGACAATTATATCTTCCGTTAGCTCGCTGTATACATTCTGAGAAATGCACGCTGACGAAAAATTCGCGATTGAACTCCTACTACTATGCTACTTGCGTTACGTATCAAGGTCTGCCGTAGCGAAAGGGTTAAAAATAGTTTTATTAATTGGACGAATACGAAGGAATCGTGCAAAATGGTTTGCCTTTAACCGCGCCTAAATTGACTCGTTTATCGCGAGAGAGGTTGCAAAGGGATCATTCCAAACGAAAAGAAATGTATAAAATTCTTGACACCTATTAACAGAATGATCCAGCGAATATCGATTTATCTTTTCATTAAAATAAATAATATTCGGATAAAGATAATCGTTTCGATCAAATCATAAGTAGGATTTACACCCTTTCGTTTAATTTAATCCTCGAGTAACTAAGAGCAACGTTTAGTTGTACATTAGAATTACAACAGTTGGTAATCTTTTTCAGAGGATAAGTCGAATGCTGGTTGCTGCGTTATTAATTGAAACAATACACAGAGGTTTGTTCGTTGAAAATATTTCGAACAGTCCACCATAATCTACAAGAATTTAATTGTCGGACAATAAAGTTATTCAAAATGGATAAAGTTCGCGAAGAATATTTCAATGAATAATAATTTAAAAGAAATATCGAATTAAATTGATACGTCGAAATGGAGAAACGAAACCTGAACTATGTAGGATAGATTTTTTGAAAATGACTGTATTATCATCAATTTTTAAATTATTTATCGAGGATGTAAAATAATTTTTTCTAAAAATATTAAAAAAAAAAAAAAGAACGAATAAGACTGAGAAATCAGGAAGGAAAAATGAAGTCATATAAAAGAACGTGTGCGTGAAATTTTCAAGTTCGTTTCGAAATTCATACCACGCTCTTATGTCTCACTGTTATTTTATAAAACGACGTCAGAGCCGGCAACCAGCTGTGGCTTATGAAAAGACGTAATTTTACGTCAGCCGCTGCGAACGTGTCAATAGAACAAAAAAAAAAAAAAAGAAAAAGAAAAAAGAAGAAGACAAATTAGAGAGATTTATAAAAGAGGCTGATGAAAAAAAAATGAAATGAATTTTAATTACTTTTCTATAATAGTAAGGACTGCCTTTCGAATGCAAACGTCATGATTTTTTAATTTAATTTGACACCATCTGCCGAGAATTAATATAACATTTAACTCTCGTTCGTTATTAATACTAGATTACTATCTCAGCAGAGGATTCGTATTATCCGCATTAAAGTTACACAGTGGAAGAATAGAAACTTTTGTCGGAGCTTGTTCCAATATTAGATCTTCGCCTTTTGTTACCAGATTTATAAATAATTCTGCGGATCAATGCGCAGGAAATAAGGAAACGGACGTTTATTTCGACTCGATTATATCCAACCTCGTGCTGAATAAGTTCTAATAAATGATTTGTTCGATTTTCCAAATTCGAATTACTGACATTTATTGAATTATTGGCGTGTAAGGCGAAACGAAAATTCCAATGGAACGAGGTCTGTTCAAATTTCGACAGGTCTTTTCCTTCCTCTGCTCGCGACCGAAGAAACGAAAAGGGAAAGGACAAGGGGGCAATTTTTTTTTTGGCGAAACGACTATTTCAGACACTGGACAGCCTACTTTCCGTTTTCAGTTTGAGATTGTTTCTCGTGTTAATCGCCAACATTGAGTTGCCGTTTCTCCAACGACGGTGAAATTAATTGTGGGCTAATTGATTCGGATTGCCGAGGAGAAAGGCGAGGTGTTCCCGCGTTTGAACACGTCAACGCGAAAACTGAAAATAGAAGGGGCCGAGGGCACTTCTGTGCGGGTGCATCAGCTAATTAAAGATATTGCTTGCTTCGAATGAAATCGGGCGGGGTAAACGATCGCCGTCGACATCGAAAGAGGATTTTTCATAGATTATTTGCACGTGATGGTCAATGGCCGACTGGCGCAACGCCATTTGCATAATTAGCTTGTCCTCGACTGGACAAAAA